TTTTCTTTACGTTAACATTTATTTTTCTTGACGTTAACATTTGTTTTGAATGAGACTTTTATGTTCTTTTCTGAAAGAAAAAAATTGACTCTTTTATCTATATATATAAAGCTAAAAGCAGAAAATAGTGAAACATTTAAAATATCAGAAAATGCCCTTGGTTAATACAAACATTAAGAATTGAAATTATTAATTAAATGAGGATAATATGGTAAATTCACTTTTTCATATTACAAAAATTAAAATTAAAAGAAAAATCAGATAATTGATCCTATTTTTATGAAACACAACTACCCATTATATTTTTTAATTCTAAAATAATATATATATATTTTTAAAACCTCTCGCAGGCACGAAAGCGCGTGCAGAGAGGCTAATAGATAAATAAAGAAGAAGTCTTAAGTTGTAAATTTGTTATTATATTATTTTCTATTTCTATGTCATTTTGGGAAAAGGAGGAGATGCTTCCGGCTTTCTCATTTTGGCAAAGTTAGCTTTCTTCAAACTCATGGGCAGAGGAGGAACGTGAATTTGGAAGCATTTATTAACTGGCATGAGGTGTCTTTAAGGATTTGCAATCCTGCATGTTCATTGCTTTAAGTTCGTAGCTCATGATTTCTTTGTTCCTGTCATATTGTGATTTACTTCTCTAAATCAACAAGATTTGATGTCCTAAATCAATTCTTGCTTAGAAAATCCTGCATCAATTATTGCGTAGAAAAGAACTCAGGCCAAGCCAATTCCCCAATCAGTTCACAATCCTTTGGTTTCAAGTTAGATTTATTGGTGCACATATCACATATACTTTCTCATTCTACGAAACTCTGGTACACTCGCGAGTCGCGCAACACAATAATTAGTCTGCTTATGAAACTAGGGCAATTTGGGGTAAACAGTGCACGAAGGTCTCATTTTTGTGCAATTTTGTTTTTGCTCAACAACAGAGACCCATGCCCCACTGTTTGGAATGTACGGTTTACAGCCCAATTCCATCCATTAACCAACCAATGAGTTGAGTTTCACGCCGCCCCAAAACACTATTTTGATGATCCAATCCAAACGGACGCGGAGTCTGTCGGTGAATAGGGCAAAAAGATAAACAAAAGGCGGATCATTTATGTAGGAATCTTTGTATTGTATAAAAAACCGCAAAAGACATAAGGAAGATAAATTAAAAGAAGAAAGAGGAAAATAGAATTAAAGTCTAAATAAAAAATGTAAATCTGTCCAACCCTTCCCACTCTACAAGCTTTTAAAGACAATTTGTCTTGGTGCCTAGACCAACAATAGGAATAATCCATCCGGAAAAGGAGAGGTAAAAACGTCACTAAAACGAAACAAAGGTAGCAGATAAGCTAATCTCATCTCATCCAACTGCAAAATCATGTTTCATGTCAGTGCATTATAGTTTAAAATCAAACAGTACCTAAAAAAATTACATACAAGTTGGTATCTGATAATAGAATTGAATCTTCATTTCAGCATGGAATGGAACATGGATGCAACTTAAACTTGCAAATAAAAAATGGTTATAAAAATAGTACAGGAGAGAACAGAAAGATCATATCCACGAATTCCATCAAGCAAGCAAAACCATCACTAATCTGAATAAACTAGAAAACAAACCAAGAATAAAAATCCTTATTCAAAAATCTAAACCCTTTACAATCAGTTTTTCTTTACCACAAAATTGATATTGATATTGACCAGCCGAACTCAGTCCCTTGCATAGTTTTGCTGCATGCTTCTATCTATCTGTGGTTCCATGAATTTGAACTACGGGTGAGTGAGATGATGGAAGGGGACGCATTGGCCAGCCAAGGAGGGGAGGTGATTCCGGGGGTGTTGCATCTCGACTAGGAGAGAAGAGGCTCAGTTCTACAAAGGGTATCCTAGAAGAACCCTCCTCCTTTTCTAAAGTACGAAAAGAAATTGATCCACGCTTTGCTGATACATCAGAGTTTCTACTAGGGCTGATTCCAGAACTTTCTTCCATATGACTCTGGTTAGCAATAAGAGAAATGGTGTCATTTTGATCATCATTAACTCTCCTCCTACTCTCCAAGTCCTGTAGACTCCCCAGGGCTAAAGAATCCGCAACTGGGCAGTAAACAAGCATGCATATACACACCCCGGCACAACATAAAAGTGCAAGAAAAGCCAAGAAAGAAAGAACTTCAAACTGAATGTGCTCTGGTTTAGATAAAACAGAGAAACCAAGCAAAGTAACCCTTAACGGAAGGAAACTTGAAACTGAGAATATCAATGTGTAAACCCTCTTCTGCAGACCCTTATTGATGACCAATTTTAAAATCTGCCTTCCAAGCCAAAACAAGTAGGCAGTTAGAATGATGCCAAAAATCCCGAGGAGGATAGTACTCAGTAAAGGGTAAGTGCAGAGGGCAATGTGATCAGTCTTGTTCACTGTACTTGTGAAGTAGGAAGGCAATTTACGTAAACTTTCATTCTTGGGGAGCTCGGGTCCAATTAAAATAACAAAGAGCTGAAGAACAAGCATTGGGAGGCAGTAGAAAAGAACGTAACCAGCTGTTTTCCCATTTCCCTCTCGGCTTAGAATTCCTGACTCCATTGTCTGCAAGGGCGCACGAAGTAGGAACACGAGGGTCAGAAATAGGCATGGTTCTGCAAACCCCAGGTTTGAGACTATGTAACATTTGCAAAGATTCTCCTGCCATTTCGAGTTAAAGGTATTCAACAGTCTCCCCTCACGTCTCAACAGACTTAAACGGGCAATTTCACCAAAACCCCACCAGATTGCAAACAAGATGAAAGTTATTCGGATAATCCACGGGCCACTGAAATAACTAAGTTGAATAAAACCCTGGCTACGAATGCGAGAGCGAAAGTAAAACAAGTAAATAATGCAGAGGAAACCAAGAAGGATCAAGAGAGCAACTAGACATATGGTCAACACACCGAGTGTATCGGCAGCAAATCTCGTCAGGGGCATTACCCGAAACACAGATTCCACGCATGCTCTCTGCCAGCATGGATACAAAGATCCTCTGGTAGCGTAAACGCTTCCTTCCCAGAATTAACGAGAACAAACGACGCGGTTTAGGAAGTAATACCAGAAGATTCTCATTGAACTCAGATCAGCTGTATCTATTACCGAAGTTGATGTTTCCACAGAATTCCCAAGAACAACCATAAAGCACCAACAATATCTGTAGAATGTTGGGCTCTTAGGTTAGGTATGTGACCTAGATGCACCAATAATACCTGCAACATCAAATGGACGAAGCCATGAGCGCACGAGGATTTTTAAAGGATTGGAAAATAAACATCTTATTGTCATAACTACAGCACTTGAATATTTTACACTAAAATGAAATGACAAACTAAACAAAACCACACCTGTTAAAAGTTCAAAATTCTCATCCTAGAAAAAAGAAAAAGAAAAAAAGAAGAAGCTAAAAAGTCTCTTTAATTTGCAACTTCAGCAAATACATGATGAACTATAAAGAACAAGTGCAAAATATACACACAAAATAAAACAACCACATACAATATTGTAAAGATATATAATAAGGAGAAGAAATCCTGGACATTTAAAATAACGCATGAAAAAATAGCTTTTACTCAAGGCAAATAGTAGGCAATTACAGATTCCATGATTTAGTCAGATTCTGCAAGTACCAATTACACATGATAAATTGTTAGTATAATACATAATACTATATCCACACACAGTCAATGGCACGCAATTGCTCATTTATCAAGTTAAACTGCGTGTTCATTCATCCAATTATCTACTCTTTGAATTGGGACAGATCAGCAGATCACAGGTACACAATAAAAGAAGCAGGGGTGAGATTGCATCACATGTGTAACATACTTTCTGTGGCATTTATGAAAACACAATTATACAGAAAAATCACTCTACAAGAAATTACTCTTCCCCAATTACTTTTGCACGATTTTGTCTGTTTTAATGCTTATAAACATATCAGTCAAACTACAATGTTTGCTCTGACTGCTTATACTCTGATAAAAGAAATTGGGCTATTGCATCTCATTCTTAAACACTAGCGATACTCTACAAAGCTCTATCAACCAGCATTTTTTTTTTAAAGGGGCAAAAAATTAAGAAAGAAAATGAAAATCAAACCTAGAAATTGAAGAACGTTTTAAATGTATAATCTTGTTTCTTTTCTTTTCCTACCATTTCTCAACAACCAAACGGTCCAGAAACATTAAAATCATTGCAAAAAAATAAAACCTTGTACAAACATTGTTCCAAATCTAATCCTTTTCAAGAAGAAACTCGTCTTATATTCAGCCGCGAAAGTCAAAATATTGACTATAAAATCAATAAACTCAAAATAAATAAATAAAGATGTTACATATCAAAACGAGAACAACAACAATATAGAAACCCTAAATTCAAGAACTGATAGCAAATAAGAGTGCCAATTGAAGCAAAAGGGAGATCAATCGAGAGCTTACAAACCCGAAAATCGTGATCTGGTGAAGTCGAACCGTGAATTGGGGAATCGAACAAGAGGATCAGAAAACCCTAACTTCCACAGAGAGAGAGAGAGGGAGAGAGAGAGAGAGAGAGGAAGGGAGGGGGAAGGAGGGGGGGAGAGAGAGAGAGAGAGAGAGAGAGCGTAGTTAGGGGAATAGGTGAGTGGGACTTTGTTGGTGACAGGCTGTATCCAGCTGTGTCGTCCGAGCCTCAAGGTTTGGAAACTGAATAAGCATTGCTTCGGCTTCTACTCGAACCTACGTGGCAATGTCGTGGCGGCGTTTACGGTGAGTTTCCTTTTTCTCCTGTTATGCTGTTTTTGGGCAATAAGGGTATAATGCGGGGATCGAAGTGCGAGGCATTGTTGCCGGGGTTGGCTTAATAGCCGTTGGATTCATCGCATGGTTTAAGTTCAATAGTCTCCTTACGTTACAACCGGGTTATAATTTCGCCACCAACTTACAACCGGGTGGGTGAAACCCAAATTAATAAGAGCTGAACCCACGAAGTTAAACTTTGAACACCGAAACCATAGCGCCAAGAACAAAGCTAAACTGGTTTGGAATCGTTGTGGGAATTAACCAAGGTTGACGCTACCTGAAAATCAGTTGGTTAGAGTAGAAGGGGCGGGCCCGTATTGTTCCTCGGAGCAATTCTTCCATTTCGGAAGTGACTTGTGTGAATATTCCCCAAGTTTGAAGTGGAATCATTATTTGGTAATCTGTAAGTAATTTAGTGGAGTTTCACTTTCAATAAAGTTAGGGTTTTACAACAATTTTTGTGATCAGTGGTGTTCTATTTGGCATTTCGTATTAGGGGTTCAATTGTATTGTAGAATTTACGTTGGTATATGTAAAATAAACCAATGAATAACATGTCAATAAAATATCAGTAACAAAAATAAGGAAAGGATTGTATGTGCTGCCAGTTGGGATTTTAAATGCGTAGTTTTACAGGTGGATAATTTGGGAAATGTTTGTTTTATAGGAAGACTGCTGAAATTTTGGTAGAAGTCTTGGCTCAATTTCTTTTAAAAATCAGGAAGAAAAGTGTTATTTTAGTAAGTGGGCTAGACATCGGTTAGATAACGGCCGGTAACAGGGTCTATCACGAATTCCAAGGGGGAATTCGGGGCGGGTCTTGTCAGCTTTCTCTCTACCCCTCTCTCAATAAAATTTCTCTGCACCAGTTTGTGAGTTGGTCGAGTTTCAATTAAAATGGTTATCTTCAATCAGCAATGGGGAAAAAAAAGTGTTCCCAAGTTTCTCTCTATTTTTCTTCTTCATGGTTTTAAAAACTTGAGGTGCATTTTTTTTTTCTTTCCAAATTTAATGTTTGTTGAGTAGTTCTTGTTTGCAATTTGTATGTGAAGGTCAATGGCGTATAGAGGGCGTGGACGTGGTGGATTTGGAGGAGGTGGCGGCGGTTTTGGCTATGCCATTCAAGTTCCCTTTTAGGTTTTTCCTGTGAGTTTCTCTTTGCTGCAGTTTTTTCTCAGGACTAATTTACCAAGCAACAATTTGAGCCTTCATCTTTATTTTTGTTGATTTTGAACTAGCGTGGTTGCTAAGTGAGGTCTTGCATTTTAGTAATGGCCAACTTTTGAGTAATAGGTTTTTGCAATTGGTTCTGTTTTTAATTTCAATGAATGTATTGTTCTCATGATCCTTCATTTTTGCAGGATGTTGATTTGCCTAATGTCAAAGGTATATTTGATCCAGAGAAGAAGGTAAACAAGGGTCTGAGTGAGGAAGAAAACTTGTCAATCAAAGTCTAAAGTTTCAAAAAATTTGGAAAGGCTCTCTTTTGTATCTTGAGCAGACCACTTCAAAGGGCTAGCATGATCTACTTTAAAACTCGTTGTTTATGTTTTTTTTTTCTGTCATTCAGTCATGGAATTGAGCAATCTGTGAAGTATGTTTGATTTGATTTTCTCTTCCTTTTCTAGCTAAGATATTAATCATGGTCTGTTGTGGAGAGCATTCATTCTTTTGGTATGCTTGAAATCCTGTTTGTTTGTTTTTTTTTTTAAGAAGACTATCAACCTTGTAGTGATGCTTCTATGCTGTCTGCAGGTAAAGTTCTGTTGTGAAAGTCAATATGATTCATATATGTTGATCCCTTCAATATTTTTACGGTTGAAGATAAAAGTACATATTTACTGTGAATCTGAAATTGATCTCACCCAGATTTTATAGTTAGATGTAAGGAGAAGTTCAAACATCCCTCCCAAATCCAACACCCAATCTTATGTTTGTGTACATTATACAAAGTGGCAAACTATCATAAAAAGTTCGATATGAGTTTCTAAGGTGAATTGTTCTGTTGTTTTTTCTGTCAGTTAATTATATTATATTATATTGGTCCATACTGGCATTTTATTTTAATACCATATTGCTTTTATTCTCCTTGTAAATCATTTATTTGGCTTCTTTTGAATTTATACCAGATTATGTTGTGATAGTATTACACTTCTTGAACTTGTGGTTTCAGAGAGGCAAAACACAGAAGTAGAAAGATATTCTGACAGGTTGAAGCCAAAAACCACCATAAGAAGCGGTGCTCTTTTTGTTACATTGGAGCTCAAGGGATTTCCCCAAGAACTGACTGGAGGTTTGTAATCTGAAAATCATATGAAAAAAAAATGGCAATGATATCCAATGTTCTACTTTGGTTTTGTGGTTTTCTTTTTGCTTTTTACATACTTGTTGTTGCAATGGTATATCAGGTTCAAGGGCACAGCAACCAGGCCGAAAGAGAGTTCGATGGAATCCTGACTCAGATCCCATGAGACTGATACTTTGTTTTTCTGTTGTCTTGTTTAATCTGTTTTGGTTTTTTTTAACATTGGGAATTTTGACTCAAAACTGATTAAAAGATTATCACTCTTGCAGAGCTGCAGAAGTTAGATTTATTTGAAAAGCTTGAACAGCGTCAGGTACGAAAAAGTCTTTCATAGTCTCCCTAACTACAACATATTGTGTCAAAGATCACTGTACCAACATCTATCTATGAAAAGGATCAAAATGAAAGTTTAAATATGCTTGGTCTTAAAATTTCTTTTCACAGATGGTTTAATTTTTGGATGCGTTGTTGATAATTCTTCTCATTTGTAGTGTAATAATGATGGAAAAGAAAAGAAAGAAGGTGAAGGTAAGGATGAAGATGAATAAGAAGAGGAGGAGGAGGCAGAAGAAGACTTCAGTGATGATGATTATCAGAAGGTTCGTATAGGAAATCATGGGTCTTATATATCTATTTGTTTCTTTACCTTATTTATAGGTAATCATTTCAAAATAGTGATAGGTTGTACTTTGTTTATGTTCACTGTTGGGATTTTCATTGCTTATATTTGCCACCTGATTCCTCACTTATTCGTTAGAAGTTCTGTTCACGAAAATTCAAGTTTGGAACTAGGAGGAGTGTGGTTTGTCTGTCCATGTGTGGGAAAGTAATATGTTTTTAATACAACTTTGATCTTGCAGAACCAAGATTTCGATGACGATAATGATGATTTTAATATGGAAGATGATGGTGATGGTAGGAACCTTTCTTTGATACACTACATTTTTCTCGTACTATTTTAACATGGAATAATTGAGCTTGTGGTAAGCTTACGCTGATGGTTTTATTTTAATGATGCAGATGAACCTCTTTTGTAGTGAGACGGTGTTGCATATGAGGCTGCTTCAAACATACACAATCCTCCCTCATTTCTCTTCCACCAAATGGAGTATCCAGCTATTGTTTGTTTTCTTGTAGGCCTGTACATTCAATTACTAGTTATTTGTTACGAAGCTCTTGCTCTTCCAGGAAAAGATTTCGGTCTAATATGACCATGATTACAAACAGAAAGTAGGTTATGTGGAATCAAAATGTGTAGGTTAGGCAATGGATTTGATTCCCCGTCTTTTTGGTTTTTAATATTAGTAATTAGGGCTTGTACTTTTTTTAAGCTTGCAATCAACCCTAATCTGTTAAATTTGTTGATCTTTCTTTGTTGCTCTCATACGACAAACTTACACAAAAAATTTAGTGTAATTTTTTTTCATATACAAAAATAAGTTTCGAAACACAGCCCATACTTCCACTATGGTGAAGAGGGAAGGAAATAAGAGTTTTAAAACGGTGGGGGGTTGGTTTACTTTGATATTCACTAGTTTGTTTCAGCCGCTCATGAGTATTTGAGGCGGGAAGTGATCCACTGATCCTTACTTCTCCACCTCTACCCACTGATGGCGAATTCGTATGGAGCGTTTCTTGTAAAGAAAGTCATTAGGCTGTCACTCGCTACATGAGTTCAAATATAAGGGAGCTAGACATTACGCAGTTCACATGGTGTTCTAAGAGATATTTAGTCATATACCCATTTTTAACACTAAAACTATAAATAAACTCTACACCATTTAATTTTTATAAACAAACTCAAAAAATGGGAGTTGGTCCTATTGAATTTAATTTTGATTATTAAATTACTTTGATGCCCTCTTGAATGTTTTGGATTTTTTTATGAAGTTTTGGGGTTAAGTTTGTTTTAAAAAATCAATGGCAGTTTTGTAATTTAAAAGAAGTTAAAAGTCTTTTTGTCATTTTGTAAATGAACTTTGGGTGTGTTTTTAAAGTCCATTTCATATAGGATTTTTTTTAAATTTAATAATTTGGGTTTTTATATTGGATATAATAGTGAATCTAACCTGGTAATTCTCGAGATAAAGAAGTTGGTATGATTGGTTTTTAGCTAATGTTGCTTAAATTCTTCCTAAACGAAATTAAATTAGGCTTTAATTTTGAACAACCATAGTTACCATTTATCTTATGTGTTATTCTTCTTTAAAATATAATTTTCATATATTCCGATTGACAAAATTATATATGCATTTTGAAGGTGAAACCTAACGTCTTAGTAGTTTTAAATTATTAGATTTTATTCCAAATTTTAATTTTGTTTAAATCTTATTTTTGCACCTCTTTCTATGGATGCGATACTTGTATTACTGAGTTATACTGCTACACGACACCTGCATTTGGGTTAGTAAGCACGATTAAAAAATTTCTATAAAATTCTTTACAAGTAGATATTGAATACACTCAAATACTCTAGTTGTGCATCAGTTTGAAAACGATCCAATCCAATTTAATTTTTTTTATTGGATTCTAGATTTTATAGTCCAATCCAATCCAATTGAAGCCATTGGATGATTGGTTTATATATATAAAGATAATCATCACATTACCAAATTCAATCTGATTTAAATATATATATATATAATTGTGTACTGAATAGGCACAAATAATTCAAAATAAGCAACATTACAACATGAATTTTGAGATTGAAAGTTAAGATGGTCTTATTTTTTTAAACCTAAGAAGGACAAATATGTGTATATAGGAAAAATTGTAGTAATGTTTCCTCAAATAAGACCATACTTTACTTTTCGTCCTTTAATTCTAACAATTGTCACGATCGTCCTTTAATTTGATATCACGCTGCATCATTGGTCTTTCTGTCAAAACTAAGGGCAAATTGAGAAATTTATATAAAATCTATATATATAAAGCAAAAGGCAGAAATGGTGAAACATTCAAAATACTAGAAAATGTCATTGGTTAATTCAAACATTAAGAATTGAAATTATTAATTACATGAGGATAATATGATAAAATCACTTTTTTTATATTAAAAAAATTAAAAATTAAAATAAAATCAAATAATAGGTCATACTTTTATGGAACATAACTACCCATGTTATCTTTTCTTAATTCTAAAAATAAAATAAAAAATAAAAAATAAAACCAATTGGCACATGCTAGTATTTATTCGATAAATAAAGTATCCCATCCCCACTTACCCTCCCTCAAATTTATAACCGCACCCACTCACCCACCTCAACTCAACAACTTCCACCTCTAAGCCTTTCCCTGCATCACCAACCTCAAGCTCAGCACCACTAGGCACGAACCCATAAAAATGAGCAAACCCTCTTCCACCACACCCAGAGTCCCTCTTTCACCCCATCAAAAGGGAGGGTTGGTTTTTGAGGAGGGGGAGGCGTGCGGTTAGGCTGAGAAGTAGTGAGGGTAGTAGTTTGGTAAAAGTCTTATTTGCTCCTCAAAAAACTATCACGTGCATCATATGTGATCAATTTTGACGGAAAAACTAACATAATTGACAGAAAGGACGAGTGGTGCAACACGATATCTAATTAAAGGACGACGATAACAAATTTTGAGGTTGAGGGACAAAATGTAAAGTGGGGTCTTATTTGAGAGACCATTACTACAATTTTGCTGTGTATATATTTTTTAAGGGTTGGATTGGTTTGTTTTAAGTTGGATTTCTAATCCCTAACCTTCCAATCGAACCGATCTTGTTGGCTCCTCAATTTTTTTATTATTTAATCCAATGTAATCTGTCAATGTTGTCGAAATTATTGGATTAGTCAGTTTTGACGAATTGGTAAAGATCATGCACATCCTCTATGAATGACTTTTCCAAAACACAACATTCATATTTGCAAATATAAATGTATATTTGTATGTTCTTCAATTTTGGGGAAAGAAAAAAAGAAAAGATTCTTTTTTGTATGCAGTTGTTAAGATTAAATCTATCAAACAATCAAATAATAATAAAAAGTCTATTTGCCGTGGCAAAAGGTAAAGAGAGGCAATGACTGTACTATTCACATTAATAGTGTATGTCCTAGCAATTTTTTTGTTGGTTTTTCACCAATTGCCATGACAACCCAAAGATAACTATTATTAACATGAGATATGAAGAGATAAATTTGTATAGAGTTTTGGTGTGGGAAGTGAAGAATATGGCTAGGTATTTATAAATAAATAAAATCTGAAAACTTTGTTTTTTTTTCCTTTTCTCTTTAATTTTTTTATTATTTAAATTGATTGTTGACGTCAGTATTAGGTCAACTTGCCCAGACTGTAACCTAGACAAATCTTGCCTTTGAACTTGCCCAAGTTGATGGAGCCCAACTCTTGCCGGACAAAACTTGGGCGTTGGAAACCGAATTGGGAGCCAGGGGACCTCTTGTCTGGACCGGGGCTCCCAGTGGAACTGCTCTAAGAAGAATACAAAAGGAATAAAATGTCCACGCAAACAAGCCTGTAGTGGACTTATCTGTCACAACACAACGGATGGGATGGCGTTGTTTGTACGTGGATTGTCCAACCAGATTATTTTTGGGTGAAGTAGGCGTAAGTACCACGTTATCAACCCAACCCAATTTTGCCCCATTTAAACTTTTTATTTTATTTTTTAAATTGTAACTAAGATTAATAAACAAAAGAAATAATAAACTTTACTGGACCATGGCTAGTCCTGTCCCTTTCCAACTTCTTGTGGGACCAACAATCTTCTATGGGACTTCGATTATCGATTCGACCAAAAACAAAACAATCTTCAAAGGGACCCACATTTTGCCACGTTGCAATGTCTCATCTCTCTACCCGTGTGGTGTGTAACTTCAACCAGACCTCTCTCTCATTCTGCTCCCTCTGTGGACGGACTATTGCTTTGTGCTTCTTTCCTTGGCTGTGTTTGAATGTAGTTTTAGCACTCTATTATACTCTTTCTCTCTCGTCTCTCCTCTCTCCCTCAAAAACAGAGTATAGCAAAGCATAAAACTTACTCGGTTTCCTTCTGTTGAAGAAAACAGAATAGAATGGCGTGTGAACTTTGTTCTGAGTTCAATATCATTGGCTCTACGTAATTCTAGGAACACCCCAGATCCTAAAATCTCTCTCTTTCACTCTAGAATCTCTTCTCTCTCTAGAATCTCCGAGTTGCTTGTCTGTCGTAACCCACATTTCAATTCCAAAAAGGGTAAACATTTGCATTTCACTTTTTTTCTGGCTTTCGTTGGAATTTCTAACTTTTTCTATTTATGGACTTAACCACATTGGGCGGAGAAAGTTTCGGTACCCACACACCCTGGCTGTTGTTCCGTTTGGGCAATTTGATTCCGTTTTGCATTGGCTGATTCTGAATTCGCATTGTCCAGGTTTGGTTAATTCTTGTTCCCACTGAATAAGAAAGTATTGACATTTTGGAAAAAAAAATCCTGTTTTGTTTGATTTGAATTAACTTATCTTTTTTATTTGAGATCTGGGTTCTTGAGGTTGGTGAATTTGGCATTGGGATTTTCTTAATTTGAACTGATAGTGTGGAGAAATTCCCCTCATTGGGTTGTCACTGGTGAAGTTTTCTTGAATTGGGGATCTGGGTTCTTTTGAATTTGTCCAGATAGGCTTTTGTGATCTTTCAGTTTAAGTTATACTTTTTTTGTTCTTGATAGGTTTTTGTTTAGAACCTGATCTGGGTTCTCTCTCATTTCCCTAGGTTGTAGAAATAAAATAATTTTACTGGAGCCTTCTGAAGTTGTTGATTGGCGAAGTAAGTTATTGATCAGTTGATTCTGAAAATTCTGTGTGAATGCTGATTAGATTGCATGCTTAATGCTGCAAAAATCACAGCCTGGAAAAATGGAAATTTGCAGTGGGAATTATTAGAGGAATTTTGCAGTGTCCTTGTCGGAATAGGGGCCTGTGGAGTAGAATTATGGGCTGCATCTGCTCAAAGGCAACTTTATCCAATCAATACGTTTCTGAGAGTCAACGTAGAGACAAGGAATTAAAGTCAAGCAAGTCATCAAAACTGTCAGAAGCTGCAGTTGGGGCTGATGCGACTGCACGGTTGATAACCAATCCTCACACAGAAGAGAATGCAGGGTCAACTCCTATTTCATCGGATGAAGGGGAGAAGAAGATGGTGGTTACTGAGAAACCCACAAAACCCTTCATGGAGGGTGGGGCGAGTGGGGGAAAGTTACCATCCGGGCTAACTAGGATAACTAGCGTATCAAATGGAGAAAGAGGAGCGCAAGTTGTTGCTGGATGGCCTTCTTGGCTGACTGCAGTGGCAGGTGAAGCAATCAGTGGGTGGGTGCCTCTCAAGGCAGACTCATTTGAGAAATTGGAGAAGGTTTGTTGATTTGCTTCTACATCTGATTTATGTGGTAGTTTATTATGATTTTTTTTCTTTATTCCCTTGTTTAGTGATATTGGTATTACGAAACCCACATTTAAATTCTTCAGGTGTGAATATTACATGTTTTGTGTATATCTCAGATATCTTTCATTTACTTTTTACAGTAAACTTTGGGGGTTAATTTTGGAGTTGTGACTTAAGTCTGTACCTAGAACAAATGTGCTGATTTTCATTAACACAATGTGCACTTAGTTTCTCTTCTTTTAACTAATAATATGTGCATTTAGGTTTTTGTATTATAAACATGTTTTAGAAAACACTGAAATTGTTAGATTGATTTGCTTAAATAAGATGCATGCCTGTCGTTGTTTATAAAAGATCAATTCATATGTACTGTAGATTTATATTTTTAAGATGTATATGCATGCACATTCTGAGAGTAAAGTAAACAAACATGTTGCCATTTTGAAAGGAGGTAAGATACACTCAATCTTCAAAAAAACTAACCAAAATTAGGTACTTCTAATTGAGGTAGTCAGCTGCTACTACTAATGGATTCTGTCTATGCTCACTTTTGTATATACCTTGATGTAAGTTGATGGAACCAGGAGGTCGGAAACTTTTTTGTGATTTTTCCATATCTTCCTTTGCCAATGCTTTATTAACAGAATAAATTTATTCAGAACAGTCAAGTGCGTATATAAGTACATGCTTAGACACCACACACTCTTTGATGGAGAATATTGAAGTATGGATGAGTCACTTGATGATTATGAGTAAAAAAATTGCAAATCAATCAGCGAAGAGTGTGTTCTTGATGGTTGGAGCAACTGAGCTATATGGAATTTTATGTAGCTCTTTATCAGGCTTCTTCCACCACATAGACATGGAAAGATTGTAAAATGAAGAAATTAACAAATGAGTTTAATCAGACAAGTGTTCATACTGGGTTTGATTATTTCGATCGTTTTAAATTGGAAATTTATCAGCTGCTTAATATGAGTTTTTATCTTTTAACCCCCAGAGCCTAGACTTGATTCTCCTAGCAAATGTTTGACAATTGTATTTTATTTTCTTGAGCTAGTGTCCACATTATGGACGTTTGTATTTTAGTTTTTTTATTTATTAATAAATTTGACTCTTCTGTGTACTGCAGATTGGACAAGGAACTTACAGCAGTGTGTACAGAGCCCGTGATCTGGATTCAAACAAAATAGTTGCACTGAAGAAGGTGCGATTTGCCAATATGGATCCGGAAAGTGTGCGCTTTATGGCGAGAGAAATTCTTATTTTGCGTAAGCTTGATCACCCCAATATCATGAAGCTTGAAGGTCTCATTACATCAAGGGTTTCGGGCAGCTTATACCTTGTATTTGAATACATGGAGCATGATCTTGCCGGGATTGCAGCACGGCCCGGGGTCAAGTTCACTGAAGCACAGGTAGTTGCTTTGCTGCTTTTGATCTCATGTATTGTGATTATGAAAACTCAGACTAAGAATAAAAGATGTCTTGGATTTGAGCATCAAATTAGGGAAAAGTCTCTTAAACTGACAAATTTACTATGACTTTTACATAAGTGCAGTTGAGTATCATTACAGACAACTGTATGTAGGTTATTTACAGTTTTAGTTACTCCAAATATGTCAAGAATTGAGGTCAGAGGACTTTAGAATATTAATAAACTGGGATAATTTAATTCACTACCTGTACTACTTTTATAGCAGGCTATAAACCACTTATAATTGAGAAAAGGGAAACGTAGTAAAAAGAAAAAAAAAAAACTTGAAAAATGGCATCAGCATTATGACATTGGGGTTTGCTGACTCTGCTCTTCACGAAACTTGTGATATATTTGATGTTGCAACCAATATTGTACATAATCATCAGGTTGTTCCTTGTATATTCTAGCATCTAAGAAGTGCAAAAAATTTCCTCTTATGGATCCAAGATAACACCTACCCAGTACCTAGAGTTGCCTCTATCAGTATCAGAAACTAGTGATGTATCATAATAGCAGTAGCAGTGGAGTTCAGGATGTTATCTGCTGCATAAAATTCTGTTATAGTGCTTAGGCATGCACCTGAAGACAAAAATCCTCAAGAAGCTGATGCTCTTAGATTCAAAAAAACTATTTCAGTCACTAATAGAATTCAGTGTCATTTCATGGATCACCAAGTAAGAAGTGGCTGGGTTTAGATCCCAGAAAGTAATATGGTAATTGTGATAAATCAGGAACAGAAGATTTGAGGGTTTCTGTGATTTCTGAATTCCCTCCCTCCATTTTGGGAAGAGCATGCACCTCTTTGTGTGCTCACCCAAAGTTAACAACCAAAGAGGGTCATTCTCTTCCCAAAATGCAGCAATATTGTTTCTTTTGAGGACAACCCTGAATGGTGCGTTATTGTCAATACGATCCATTTGTATCTAATTGCAGCTGTGTTCATTTTCATGATCTTATGTGTGTTATGGTAGCAGAATGCTTGACTAATCTTTTATTGTGGTTGATATATGGTGTTTGTGCACCGTGTTGCAGATTAAATGTTACATGCAACAGCTTCTTCGTGGGCTTGAGCATTGTCACAGTCATGGTATTTTGCACCGTGACATTAAGGGATCAAATCTTTTGATCGACTATTATGGCAACCTAAAGATTGCTGACTTTGGACTAGCAACCTTTTACCGACCCCGTCAAAAGCAGCCCCTGACAAGTCGGGTAGTAACCTTGTGGTACCGACCACCTGAACTTCTGCTTGGCTCTACAGATTATGGGGTTGCTGTGGATTTGTGGAGTGCTGGTTGTATTCTTGCAGAATTGTTTGCTGGGAAGCCTATCATGCCAGGAAGAACAGAGGTATTTTCCCCAGCTTTTTGATTATATACACATGTAAAAGATATGTTTACATATACATATGTATTTTTATTTTTATATCGACTTGCTTTACATTTATTAGATGTGGCAAATATTGAGAAATTCATAATCTTCCTAATCATGGCATCTGAGATTTAAGTCTAGTTGTCGAGAGCATGAGCTTGATTTTTGCTGATAGGAGCAAATTACTTAACCAGATTCCAATGAATGTCAGAGGATGGATGAAAGTCCGTTGTAACTTTCTAAGAATATTCTAATCGGATAAATCATTAATGGTGATTTTGTATGGTTAATCCCTTGTGCTCTAACATGGAATCTACCAGCTGTACTGATGGACCTATTCAGACGTCTTATTTGATCTTATCATTTATTGCTTATAGGTGGAGCAACTACATAAGATATTCAAACTTTGTGGGTCACCTTCTGAAGAATACTGGAAGAGATCAAAATTGCCGCATGCAACTATTTTTAAACCAACGCATCCGTACAAGCGTTGTGTTGCTGAGACATTCAAGGACTTCCCTCTGTCAGCATTGGCCCTGCTAGAGGTTCTTCTAGCAGTAGAACCTGAAAGTCGTGGAACAGCTTCTTCTGCACTTCACAGTGAGGTAATCATGGGTTTTCTTTGCTATTTGAAACCATGTTGACTTTGTCTATTGAATTCTGATCTCGTCAAATTGAAACAATTTGGGGTTAAGAAAATGGAAAAACAATATTCTGTTTCTGAAATTTGGTTTTCTTTGCTGTAATTTGAATTGCATTCTAATATATCACTATCTGCAACTGCTAAAATGACTAGTACTTTTGAAATTAAATTTGGAACTGAAATATCAATCCTAATGGTTAGTCAAACTGAAAGCTGTTGTCCTAGATTTTCCCATTATAATTAGTCGTGCTTACTCTGAATTTGCTAGAAAATATTGGATCTGAGCATATATATAATGAGTCTGCTGAATGGTTAATTTTGAATAGGTGATTGGTGAATTTCACCCCTTGGGCTTCCTTCTAGCAGTACAGTTTATGCAATTTTCAACTAGATGATTGCTTATAGTCATCCTACATTTATGCTCTCTTTTGAGTTGGGATCTATAAGTTACCTTCCCATAATTAATTCAACTTTGGGTCAGGAAGTTAGATCTTACTTCTGAGGATATATATTTTTTCTTTTCTCTTTGCCAGTTCTTCACATCATTGCCTCTTCCCTCTGATCCCTCAACTTTGCCTAAGTACCCACCTAGCAAGGAGTTTGATGCCAAGCTCCGAGACGAGGAAGCTAGAAGGTGAGCAATTTTCCAATTATATTAACTACTTTTCAAGTCCTTTCTTATGCAAGATCTGATTATGACATCTTTTTGTATGTGGTGTGTCTTCTTTTTTGGTAAATAGCTAATTGCATCTTTATTAGTTTTGGTTCATGACATATTTTTTGGACATCAGTACCAAACTGATTCGTTATCTAAAGCTCTGATGGCTTGCTGCATTAAGCTCACTTCAGAGGAGGGAGAAAGATTTCTGTTTTTGTCTCACATGGGGGAGGCAGCTGTTTAATTGCAAAACAAAAAAAGAAAAACTGGTTTTGCTATAAAAGAAAAATAAAAGAAAACAACTCTTCCTTGTTTGAATGTGTGGTGCAAGACTGTCTGGCAAGATAAATTTGTTCCTGTATGTGTGTATTTTGAGTTATTAATCTTGTTCACACTCACTTGAATGTTGCTTTGTTTATCTGAAAACCAGGCGAAGAGCACCTGGTAGTAAAGGAGGGAGTTCCAAAGAATCAAAGGCTGTGCCAGCACCAGATGCCAATGCAATACAGGTATCCTTGCCTTCAAATTCTGTAATTAAATTCATCATGTCTTTAAATACAAAACCCAAATCATTGTGAAGAATTACTGATTTAGGTTCTATGCTTTCTTTGTTATCTTTCCTAATCTGGAAGCGACAAGGGCAGCCTAACCCCAAAAGCATAAGTGAAAAGTACAACCCTGATGAGGATAGTGGCTCTGGCTTTCCTATCGAGCCTCCCAAAGGAGCAACATCAAATGGCTATTCCCATTCTGGCCAGTCAATGCACCCAAGTGCATTTGGATCTTCACGGAATATGTCGCAATCTGGCCAGTCTAGGAATGGTGCGGAGAAGTCTTATATGTATCGTGGGGCAGCCCAGTCGTCCAGGTTTTCCAATTCAGCTTCGGTTCGAAGTGATTCACAATACGATGGTGTTGTAGAAGCTAGTGCAAATCCACACTGGCCAGAGGAGCGTATTAATGCCAGATATAGTCATTTAGACAACGGGGATTCCTCTGCAAAACATGATTGGTCCCACAATCTTCTGGATAGGCCAAAGTCTTCACATAAGAAGGATGAACAGCCATCAGGGAAGGAGTCTGCAACGGTAAAGGATTTTACTATTTTCATCTATCACATGCTTTATTTTGAAATTTGACTCCACTGATATCTGGAGCAAATGCTGGCCCCACCCATTAATTTGGTTTTTCACATGATGCCCTGGTCAAGTGGCTGTATATGGGATTGTTGAATTTGTTTTCATGCAAACCATTCAAGTTATGAAATTTTTGTTTTTTATTTTTAGAAATAGGAACTCTCGTACTCTTGCTTCTGAAGCCGAAGTTTACACCATTGATGTTTCCCCATGTTTGCTTGTTTGAGATCTTTGGTTAAATGTCTTGAATTGGCTTTTTTTGCAGTCTACTGAGTGGTTTGCCGCCCTTATAGAATTTAATCTTCAACATGAATGTGACTAAATAATTTTGCATTTGGCATCAGGGTTATGCTACCAAGAAGAACCGGATCCACTACTCTGGACCGTTGATGCCCCCTGGAGGAAACCTTGAGGAGATGCTCAAAGAGCATGAGAGACAAATACAACATGCTGTCCGCAAAGCTCGCCTGGACAAGAACAAACCCAAGAAAGCCAACAGTGAAAATGGACAAACCGAATCCCTGCTTCACCATGTAAGAAATGGCAGGTGATGACAGAAGGGAAAGTCACACTGGCTTAATTTTGAAAGCAAGAGCTCCTTCGGAACAGCATCACTCTGATATTGAAGAAATATTCCTCTTGAGAACTCAACAAATCTCACCACGGAAAAGATAAATGGGATTTATGGAGCTTCTTTGGTTTATATCACATCAGATATATATTCACTTTTTGAAGGTATGCTATCATCACTTGCTAGAGAGATTCAGAAAGATTGTTAATCTTGAATTTGAAGTAAATTAAATCCCCAGGCATCGACTCGTGATCTGCTTTGGGATGGTTTTTGTAATTGACGTACCAGAAAATTGTTTCATTGCCAGATGGTGAGAGGTCTCTTTGGTGTCCAGATGCTGGAGACAAGCTGTGCGCAGCCGAAACCTGATCTGCTCAATCAGCTATATTTCATTCTTTGTAAAGGCTAAGTTATATCACTAAGTCAAAGGTTTTGTGATCACAGGCCACTATTTGTTCAAATCAATGTACAAGACAGTTCTTACTACTCCAAACCCATCAGCACAATGCTCTTTCCTTTTTCTTTTTCTCCCTTTTTTAGGTTTCTTTTGGAATGAAATACACAAATGCATATATTTAAGTAAGCATAAATGACTCGAACTCTTCTTGGAGATCCTACAATGACACTAATTTTTTTATTATTAAGGAAGTTGGTACCTACCATATTTTGTCCATAATCCACGTTTCGTGCCTTGCCTTAGAATTTCTTTTGTTGGTTAAAGAAAGTATTCCCTTTTTGTTTTTGTTCTTTTACCACTTGCTTGGTACAGCCTCATTCACATATGTAATCAAATAAATGATTGAATTGTAATATTTTGAAGAATTGAAGTACCAATGGGTCTATAACTCAGTGATAAGCAAGGACTAAAATATCGATGATATCGGAAATATCGGTAGTCCAAAAATATGGAAATTTCGATGGAAATATCGGAATATTATCGATATCAATAAAAATTGAATAAAACCCACGGAAATTGTAAGAAAAACTTGAAATTTTTTATTGAAACTTTGGAGAATGTTTATTTAGTCAGTTATCTATTAGTTTATCACAAAAAATTAGAATGAAATGTATTGCATGATGGATTTAACTGATTTAAGTTGATTATACAGCGAGCTGGCAAACACACCATAATCATTTATATATAACGATTTACTACAATATTTTACACTTCATACATTGCATGGTAAGATACATGAGTGACTTAGTACCACATATAGTTCCTATGAGGTTCAAATTTTTCACTATTTTCATCATCTCTATGTGTAGAGTAAGTGTATTGTGAAGAGTAGTCATCAAATGATAAATCCCCAAAATAGTTTTGTATGTAATTGTTAACATGTCAACCATATAAATATAAATATTTTAGCATATTATCACAAAAACATAAGTGATATGTGATTAAGGTGTCGGAGGAGTAAAATGAGAGGGGTTTAAGTCCCCTTTGTGTTTTTTTTTTCCTTCTTTTTCCTTTTTTTTTCCCTTTACATCGATATTTTTGATATTTTTGTGATATTACACTGATATTTTGACAAAATATTGCTAAAGTGTGAGCGAAATTATCGACATCGATATTTTCCGATATTATCGTCGATATTATCGATATTTATACGATATGTACATGGATATGTTCCGAAATATCCGTGATTCGAAAAAACCGAAATATCCTTGATACTTCGTCGATATTATCGATATTTCAGACTATAGTGATAAGAATATTTGCCTGCAAATCAGTGTTCTCGGGTTCAAACCCAAACGGGACCTGCCCCCTCCCCCTTCCAAACTTTGACCCCCAAAAAAGGGTACTGGAAGATGAAATATAATAACGTCATCATCAATAATATTCAATTTGTTTTTAAATGGTTGAAATTTGAGAGGGAGTTTAATATCTAAGATAACAACACCTGTAATGCAACATATATAGCTTCTCTAAACTGATATAAAAAAATGGCACCTGCAACCAATGGAATTGGCAGATCTACCACCAACCAACCTAAACTTGTTTTGCTTCACCAAGAATCATAATAGCTCTTATGTCTTCATCATGCATCCGAAGTTCCCTCTCCCTTCATGCTTAAGCATCCATCACCCAAACTACGACACAACACAACGCCTTCTCATCAACTCAGTCCCTTTCTTCCTCCAACTCATAAATGCCACAATATATAATAAACCTTACAAATATATATATATATATATATATTTCCCAGAGCTCCAACTTCTTCTTAACATATTTCTCTCCATACTCATAAAAAACACAACAACAAAAAAAAGCCAATACATTTCAGCATGAGAACCAAAACCCATGTTCCAACTTTCAACTATAAGCTTCTCCTCCTCGGAGTATTCCTTGCTTTTGTTGTCCTCTTTGTGTTCAGGTCAAGCTTTGATTCATCATCATCATCATCTTCTTCTTCTTCTTCTTCTTCTTCTTCCAATGAAAAATCCACCATTTTGCCTAAAGTACCCTTGGATGAGAAAGAAGCCGAGGATGATGAAAGATCAACAAAATGTGACACCCCATTGACTTGCAACAAAATCCCACCCTCCCTAGCCAAAGCTCTAATCCACTACACAACCTCAACCATCACCCCACAGCAAACCCTCAAAGAAATCTCAGTCACATCAAAGGTCCTAGACAAGAAATCACCCTGCAACTTCCTCGTCTTCGGCCTAGGCCACGACAGCCTCATGTGGAGCTCCCTCAACCACGGGGGGCGTACGATTTTCCTCGAAGAGGATGAGTCGTGGATCGAGCAAATCCAACGCCGTTTCCCCATGTTGGAGTCATACCATGTCACATACGACAGCAAGGTGAACCAGGCTGACAATCTCATGGATGTTGGGAAGGGCCCCGAGTGCACAGCAGTTGGTGATCCTAGGTATAGCATGTGCCAGCTGGCACTCAAGGGCTTGCCTAGTGAGGTTTACGATATCAAATGGGATTTGATTATGGTGGATGCGCCCACAGGGTATCATGATGAAGCACCGGGACGAATGAGCGCCATATACACAGCTGGGATGATGGCTAGGAACAAAGAGGAGGGAGAGACTGATGTGTTTGTGCATGATGTGAATAGGGTTGTTGAAGATAACTTCTCCAAGGCTTTCCTTTGTGTAGGTTACATGAAAAAGCAACAAGGGAGGTTGAGGCACTTCAACATTCCTAGTCACAGGGATGGTTCCCACAGGCCCTTTTGCCCTGAGTAGTCAATTCATGTGTTTTTGCAAATTATTTCATCATCTGTCATATTTGATTCATCGTCTCTATACTATACTACACAATTTAATTTCATCCATTTACCCTCCATTTAGATGGAGAAAAATAACTCGGGATTTAGCTAACCCTCCGTTTGGATAAAGGAAATGAAAGTTGCAGAGAATTATTAAATTACAGAAATTAGATATCCATCCTTTAAATTTTTGTCAATTAATAATTTCAAAGTTTGAATTATGTATGTCAAATTTTATAAATGACAGAATTTATTGTGAAAATAAATTCCTGCTCAATAGAAATTGCGAAATTGGTTTGAACATGCACCGCATGTAATTGAAATTGAAATTGAAATTGAAATTCCTGTGCATCGTACAACAATGGGTGTCTTAGTATACCCTTCCTTCCTCTCTTTAAGAATGTAGTTGCATGATGTAAATATAAATCGAGTTCCATATCGTTTATATATAAAAAAGAATTGATTTTGTATAATCTGTGTTTATTTTATTTTGTGCTTGAGTTGGATTTCTTTTTAGATATTAAAGGATATTCAATACTCAAAAGGTAAAAAAAGAGTCGTAAATATGCAGCTAACAATTGATAATTCGTACAGACCACGGCCAATTTAGAAATTATAAAAAGAAAATTCAATCATATAATTATAAATAAATAAAAAAGAACTGGAAAGCCTTTTCTTATTTTATGGGCAGCTGAAATCTTTATGGCCCAAGACGAACGTCTTCGTTTGGTCTTTTCTGGGATCGAATGCGAGCCATTTTGATAGAAATTTGAGAGAGAGAAAGGAAGCAGAGATTACAGTTTCAAAACAGAACCTTAAACATTTTGATTTGAATGGCGCAATGATATTTGACAAGGAAATGGATTCAGAATCGACAATCTGAGGCTTCTTTGGGCCGTTCTGCCTCAATTAGCATGTCCATCTTCGTCGTCTTAGTTCTGACAAAAGCGGGAGCTTGGTAACCAGCAACAATATGGATTATGATCACGTAGAGGATCTAGAGATGCTTCATCATAATCCGCAGTAAAGCGGGAGTTCTAACAAAAACGACCGCAGTAAAGCCGGGCCGAAAATATCCCGAGTATAGCCGTATTTTTTATAATTACAAAGCCGGACGGCTATACTATTTTTATTTTAAAAAAACCCCGAGTTTAGCCGCTCGGCTATACTATTAATAATTGAAAAAGGGCCGCCCGCTTGTAAAAATAGTATAGCCGCACGACTATATTATTATTTTAAAAAAGAACCCGGTATAGCCGGCCGGCTATACTATTTATTATTTTAAAAGAACCGAGTATCTCCGACCGCGGCTGTACTATTTTTTGTAAACCCCAAGTATAGCCGCGCGGCTATACGATTAAGGACCCACGCCTGGCCCCTGGCGCTCGTTCCGCTGCGTGTCTTTTTTTTCCCTTGAAAAAAGGAAAATCTTTTCAAGCTTTAGTTTACTTCCAATGTAAGCAAAGTTGATGAGCTGGATTTTTCTATTTTGTTTTTACTTTTGATATGATGTTTTTTTTTCTTCATCGAACTAATATGCTGTCTAGTTGATAAACCACCGATTTCTTCTTCGTCGGTGGCTGCTGCCAAGTCTGCAGTAATTTCTGCTGGTGAAGAGATAGAAAGTCTTGGACTGCCGTCAGAAATCTGCCCTCTGGTAAAGACATGGTTGCTCAACCTACATTCACATCAAAAAGGTCTTCCAAGTATATGGCTGTGTTGTGACTACTAGTAAAGACATGGTTGAACACATAGATTCCACAACACCATTTGACAAAGTGAGTTCCCTCAAAGCTCTTTTTGTTCATGTTTGTTACATGATTTAGGGAAACAAAGCAACAATTCCATGAATATGAATAATTCGAACCCGCCTGGCGACTACCGCCTGCTTATCCAAGTGTAAAAATAGTATAGCCGAGCGGCTAGACGATTTACTTTTAAAAAAAACCAGCACCTTTTATAGCCGTGCGGCTATACTATTTTTTTTCCTTTTTTTTTTCCCCTCATTGTACTAATATGCTGTCTAGTTGATAAACCTTGTTCAGGAGGCTTTTCCCAAGATTCAGCCCTGAAAAACATCTCTCTCTTCCCACCACTGTCGAACCTTTGTCTCAATCTGTAGGAGATGGTCTCTCCTGGCAAAGTTCTTACCACCTTCAGCTGCCATTTCTGTAATCTTACAGAAACTGCAAAAATGAGCAACGATTTACATTAGAAAACCAGCTGTTCAAAGGCATTATCATCACAAATAATAAAAAAAACATTAACCAGAATAAAACCAATTATGAAAAATAAGCTCAACACAAAACAATCATAAGCAACTATGAGGAATAACTTAGCTTAGAGCATCTCCCTCCAAGGGAGATATTAAATTCAAAAGGTTAGATTCGATTTTGACGGCAGATGTATCCCATTCCAACCAATATGTCAATTTTATTGTGATTCA